AGGGACCTTGAAGGTCATCTATGGGTGTGCTTAAAGGAAGTTTCTTAAGGAAATTTGGTGGGGGGCTCTGGGTGGGGAGGGGGTGGCGTGGGCAGCTTCCCCAACTCCGGAGAACCGGTGGCCCAGGATGGGGCAGCAGCCCCCCCCCTGCATGGGCGCTTGGAAATGCACTGGAGAAGAGATATTTTCTCCCCCCCCCCTCTTTTCTGAAGTTGCTGAAAAAGTTTGGGGCCTCAGCTGCCTCTCGCCAGCTCCCTGCGGACCCCTCCCCGGCAGCCTCACCTGTTTACTTTCCGCCTGCAGGAGAAGCAGTACTTCGCTTTCCCCGGAGAACTCCTGATGAGGATGTTGAAGATGCTAATTTTGCCGCTCATCACCTCCAGGTGAGTGCCGCCCCTTCTTCCCCCCCCCCCCGGGGGCAGGGCAGGTGTGGGGGGAGGCGGATCGGAGACGCTCCTGGAGGGCTCCTGGAGGCCGGCTGGCGGGAGTAATTGCTGCTTGGCATGGAAGAAGGAACCGGGTCTGTTTGGCAGCTGGGACCGCAAGTCACGCCAGCCCCCCCCCTCCCCAGGGAAGCCAAACTTTTGAATTGCAGGGCTCTGAAGTTCCTCCCGGCCCAGCTGGCTTTGTTTTGCTCTGCAGCTGCAACCTGGGGGGAAAGACGGAAAGTAAACTTGGTCAGACTTTGATCTGAGGCCGGGCATCTGGAGGGCACCGGACAGAGGGCAGGCCGAACACTTGAGGGCCAAGGCTGCGGGCATAAGTCTGTCGTTCGACCCCTGGTCTCTGGCAGGGTGGGCAGTTGGTGACCCCAACGTAGGGTGGGGGAGCTGGCAGCCTTAGTCCAGTGCAGCGTTTCTCAAGCTTGTCCACTGTAAGACGAGAGGACTTTAACTGGCTTCAGACAGACTTCTAGAAAACCTCAACTAACCTCTACATAGACTTCAGCTAACTTCAACTAACTTCTACATAGACTTCTAGACTTCAATTAAGCTCAACTAACTTCTACATAGACTTCAGCTAACTTCAACTAACCTCTACATAGACTTCAATTAAGCTCAACTAACTTCTACATGGACTTTAACTAACTTCAACTAACTTCTACATAGACTTCTAGACTTCAATTAAGTTCAACTAACTTCTACATAGACTTTAACTAACTTCAACTAACTTCTACATAGACTTCTAGACTTCAATTAAGCTCAACTAACTTCTACATAGACTTTAACTAACTTCAACTAACTTCTACATAGACTTCTAGACTTCAATTAAGTTCAACTAACTTCTACATAGACTTCAGCTAACTTCAACTAACCTCTACATAGGCTTCAATTAAGCTCAACTAACCTCTACATAGACTTTAACTAACTTCAACTAACTTCTACATAGACTTCTAGACTTCAATTAAGTTCAACTAGCTTCTACATAGACTTCAGCTAACTTCAACTAACCTCTACATAGACTTCAGTTAAGCTCAACTAACTTCTACATAGACTTTAACTAACTTCAACTAACCTCTACATAGACTTCAATTAAGCTCAACTAACTTCTACATAGACTTCAGCTAACTTCAACTAACCTCTACATAGACTTCAATTAAGCTCAACTAATTTCTACATAGACTTCAGCTAACTTCAACTAACCTCTACATAGACTTCAATTAAGCTCAACTAATTTCTACATAGACTTTAACTAACTTCAACTAACTTCTACATAGACTTCTAGACTTCAAGTTAGTTCAACTAGCTTCTACATAGACTTCAGCTAACTTCAACTAACCTCTACATAGGCTTCAATTAAGCTCAACTAACTTCTACATAGACTTTAACTAACTTCAACTAACTTCTACATAGACTTCTAGACTTCAATTAAGTTCAACTAATTTCTACATCTGAAGTTGAAACTCAAATACTTTTGCCACCTAATGAGAAGGAAGGACTCACCGGAGAAGACCCTAATGCTGGGAAAGATGGAGGGCAACAGAAGAAGGGGACGACAGAGAATGAGGTGGCTGGATGGAGTCACTGAAGCAGTAGGTATGAGCTTAAATGGACTCCAGAAGATAGTGGAGGACAGGAACGTTGTCCATGGGGTCGCAATGGGTCGGACACGACTTCGCAACTAAGAACAACAAAACTTCTAGATAGACTTCTAGACTTCAATTAAGTTCAACTAACTTCTACATAAACTTCAACTAACTTCAACTAACTTCTACATAGACTTCTAGACTTCAATTAAGTTCAACTAACTTCTACATAGACTTTAACTAACTTCAACTAACTTCTACATAGACTTCTAGAAAACTTCAACTAACTTCCACACAGACTTTAATTAACCAACTAACTTCTACATATTCTACACTTCAACTAACTTCTACATAGACTTCTAGAAAACCTCAACTAACTTCTACATGGACTTCAACTAACTTCTACATAGACTTCTAAAAAACATTTTCAGCTAATGTCTACATGGACTTCAACTACCTTCAACTAGTGGTAATTTCTATTTTCATCATAGACTTCAACTAACTTCAGCTAACTTCTACATAGACTTTAGATTTCAACTAACTTCTACGTAGACTTTTAGAAAACTTCAACTAACCTCTACGTAGACTTTAACCAACTAACTTCTACATAGACTTCTAGGCTTCAACTAACTTCCACTAATTTCTACATAGACTTCTAGAAAACGTCAACTAACTTCTACATAGCTGGCTGGGGAATTCTGGGAGTTGAAGTCCACTCATCTTAAAGTGGCCAAGCTTGAACAACGCTGCTCTAATTCAGCCTTTATTGATATTTTCAAAGTTCAAAGTTTCTTCTTTTTATTTTCCCACGCCAAAATCGTGGGAATTTCTGCCCCTGTTGCAACTTGCTGCCCAATCCTCCTGTCCGGATTCAGGTCTGCCCAATCCTTACGAGAAGCCAATCGATCCTTTCCTCTGCCTCAGTGGCCAGGCATTCTCCGCCCGTCACCCGTGGGGCCACTGAGTCAGGACTCTGCTGGGGCGTTCTTTGTCCCCCCCCTCATCCCAAACCAATTTTCCCCAAACACGATGCGAGGAAAGAAGTCTGCAGAAACCACCCCAGTCTTATCCTGCCATGCCCAACCTTTGGAAACTGACCAGACCATGCCCAGAAATTTCTGATTGGGAGACGCAGCAGGGCAGCTGGAGGTCGTAGAGCCGGGTGGCTGAAATGGACCAGCTGCAATGAAACACATCCCACTTATTTGGGTTCACACGGCCCAGAACAAACCACCAAAGCTCCCGAAGGCCTGGGTTGGTGCCCTCCTGCTCTACCACCCTCACTGGCACCTTGATGCCCCCCATCCAGGCCCTTCACGCCTTCGCCTATAACGTGTGAAGACGACCCAAGCATTTCTTTAAAGATTTTTTTTTAAAAAAATCCTGCTTTATTATTTTTATAAATAAGTGAAGGCGACAAACATACCTTCTGCTCCTTCCTTTTCCTATTTTCCCTACCAAAACCAACCCTGTGAGGTGGGTTGGACCGAGAAAGAGGGACTAGCCCAGGACCACCCAGCCAGCTTTCACGCCTAAGGCGGGGCTAGAACTTTCTGTCTCCTGGTGATTGGCTGAAAGTCACCCAGCTTGCGGTCATACCTAAGGCGGGACTAGAACTCCCCGTCTCCTGGTGATTGGCTGAAAGTCACCCAGCTTGCTGTCATGCCTAAGGCGGGACTAGAACTCCCCGTCTCCTGGTGATTGGCTGAAAGTCACCGAGCTTGCTGTCATGCCTAAGGTGGGACTAGAACTCCCCGTCTCCTGGTGATTGGCTGAAAGTCACCCAGCCGGCTGTCATGCCTAAGGCGAGACTAGAACTCCCCGTCTCCTGGTGATNAGGGACCTTGAAGGTCATCTATGGGTGTGCTTAAAGGAAGTTTCTTAAGGAAATTTGGTGGGGGGCTCTGGGTGGGGAGGGGGTGGCGTGGGCAGCTTCCCCAACTCCGGAGAACCGGTGGCCCAGGATGGGGCAGCAGCCCCCCCCCTGCATGGGCGCTTGGAAATGCACTGGAGAAGAGATATTTTCTCCCCCCCCCTCTTTTCTGAAGTTGCTGAAAAAGTTTGGGGCCTCAGCTGCCTCTCGCCAGCTCCCTGCGGACCCCTCCCCGGCAGCCTCACCTGTTTACTTTCCGCCTGCAGGAGAAGCAGTACTTCGCTTTCCCCGGAGAACTCCTGATGAGGATGTTGAAGATGCTAATTTTGCCGCTCATCACCTCCAGGTGAGTGCCGCCCCTTCTTCCCCCCCCCCCCCCCCCGGGCAGGGCAGGTGTGGGGGGAGGCGGATCGGAGACGCTCCTGGAGGGCTCCTGGAGGCCGGCTGGCGGGAATAATTGCTGCTTGGCGTGGAAGAAGGAGCCGGCTCAGCTTGGCAGCTGGGACTGCAAGTCACGCCAGCCCCCCCCCTCCCCAGGGAAGCCAAACTTTTGAATTGCAGGGCTCTGAAGTTCCTCCCGGCACAGCTGGCTTTGTTTTGCTCTGCAGCTGCAACCTGGGGGGAAAGACGGAAAGTAAACTTGGTCAGACTTTGATCTGAGGCCGGGCATCTGGAGGGCACCGGACGGAGGGCAGGCCGAACGCTTGAGGGCCAAGGCTGCGGGCATAAGTCTGTCGTTCGACCCCTGGCCTCTTGCAGGGTGGGCAGTTGGTGACCCCAACTTAGGGTGGGGGAGCTGGCAGCCTTAGTGCAGTGCAGTGTTTCTCAAGCTTGTCCACTGTAAGACGAGATGACTTTAACTGGCTTCAAACAGACTTCAATTAAGCTCAACTAACTTCTACATAGACTTTTAGACTTCAATTAAGTTCAACTAACTTCTACATAGACTTCAGCTAACTTCAATTAACCTCTACATAGGCTTCAATTAAGCTCAACTAACTTCTACATAGACTTTAACTAACTTCAACTAACTTCTACATAGACTTCTAGACTTCAATTAAGTTCAACTAGCTTCTACATAGACTTTAACTAACTTCAACTAACCTCTACATAGACTTCAATTAAGCTCAACTAACTTCTACATAGACTTTAACTAACTTCAACTAACTTCTACATACTTTTAGACTTCAATTAAGTTCAACTAACTTCTACATAGACTTCAGCTAACTTCAACTAACCTCTACATAGACTTCTAGACTTCAATTAAGTTCAACTAGCTTCTACATAGACTTTAACTAACTTCAACTAACCTCTACATAGACTTCAATTAAGCTCAACTAACTTCTACATAGACTTTAACTAACTTCAACTAACTTCTACATAGACTTCTAGACTTCAATTAAGTTCAACTAATTTCTACAGCTGAAGTTGAAACTCAAATACTTTGGCCACCTAATGAGAAGGAAGGACTCACTGGAGAAGAGCCTAATGCTGGGAAAGATGGAGGGCAACAGAAGAAGGGGACGACAGAGAAGGAGGGGGCTGGATGGAGTCACTGAAGCAGGAGGCGTGAGCTTAAATGGACTCCAGAAGATGGTGGAGGACAGGAAGGCCTGGAGGAACGTTGTCCATGGGGTCGCAATGGGTCGGACATGACTTCGCAACTAAGAACAACAAAACTTCTAGATAGACTTCTAGACTTCAATTAAGTTCAACTAACTTTTACATAGACTTTAATTAACTTCAACTAACTTCTACATGGACTTCTAGACTTCAATTAACTTCAACTAACTTCTACATAGACTTCTAGACTTCAATTAACTTCAACTAACTTCTACATAGACTTTAACTAACTTCAACTAACTTCTACATAGACTTCTAGAAAACTTCAACTAACTTCCACACAGACTTTAATTAACCAACTAACTTCTACATATTCTACACTTCAACTAACTTCTACATAGACTTCTAGAAAACCTCAACTAACTTCTACATGGACTTCAACTAACTTCTACATAGACTTCTAAAAAACATTATCAGCTAACGTCTACATGGACTTCAACTACCTTCAACGTGGTAATTTCTATTTTCATCATAGACTTCAACTAACTTCAGCTAACTTCTACATAGACTTTAGACTTCAACTAACTTCTACGTAGACTTTTAGAAAACTTCAACTAACCTCTACATAGACTTTAACCAACTAACTTCTACATAGACTTCTAGGCTTCAACTAACTTTCACTAATTTCTACATAGACTTATAGAAAACTTCAACTAACTTCTACATAGCTGGCTGGGGAATTCTGGGAGTTGAAGTCCACTCATCTTAAAGTGGCCAAGCTTGAACAACGCTGCTCTAATTCAGCCTTTATTGATATTTTCAAAGTTCAAAGTTTCTTCTTTTTATTTTCCCATGCCAAAATCGTGGGAATTTCTGCCTCTGGTGCGACTCGCTGCCCAATCCTCCTGCCTGGATTCAGGGCTGCCCAATCTTTACGAGAAGCCGGTCGATCCTTTCCTCCGCCTCAGTGGCCAGGCATTCTCCGCCCATCACCCGTGGGGCTACTGAGTCAGAACTCTGCTGGGGTGTTCTTTGTCCCCGCCCCTCATCCCAAGCCAATTTTCCCCAAACACGATGCAAGGAAAGAAGCCTGCAGAGACCACCCCAGTCTTATCCTGCCATGCCCAACCTTTGGAAACTGACCGGACCATGCCCAGAAATTTCTGATTGGGAGACACAGCAGGGCAGCTGGAGATCGTAGAGCCGGGTGGCTGAAATGGACCAGCTGCAATGAAACACACCCCACTTATTTGGGTTCACACGGCCCAGAACAAACCACCAAAGCTCCCGAAGGCCTGGGTTGGTGCCCTCCTGCTCTGCCGCCCTCACTGGCACCTTGATGCCCCCCATCCAGGCCCTTCACGCCTTCGCCTATAATGTGTGAAGACGACCCAAGCATTTTTTTAAAGATTTTTTTTTTTAATCCTGCTTTATTATTTTTATAAATAAGTGAAGGCGACAAACGTACCTTCTGCTCCTTCCTTTCCCTATTTTCCCTACCAAAACCAACCCTGTGAGGTGGGTTGGACCGAGAAAGAGGGACTAGCCCAGGATCACCCAACCGGCTTTCACGCCTAAGGCGGGACTAGAACTCCCCCTCTCCTGGTGATTGGCTGAAAGTCACCCAGCTTGCTGTCATGCCTAAGGCGGGACTAGAACTCCCATCTCCTGGTGATTGGCTGAAAGTCACCCAGCCGGCTGTCATGCCTAAGGCGAGACTAGAACTCCCCGTCTCCTGGTGATTGGCTGAAAGTCACCCAGCTTGCTGTCATGCCTAAGGCGGGACTAGAACCCCCTGTCTCCTGGTGATTGGCTGAAAGTCACCCAGCTTGCTGTCATGCCTAAGGCGGGACTAGAACTCCCCGTCTCCTGGTGATTGGCTGAAAGTCACCCAGCTTGC